TTTAACATCCTCATAATCATGATACATTTCGCCACAGTTGAGCTTGTTTATGAGTACTCCTTGAAAGAGAGACCCATGCCTTACTAGTGAATAATAGTTACTGTTGACATATTTTACCAGTTGGGTTATTTCTTGTCGGGTTTTTTCACATCTTAAAATTAGTGACTCATGAATTTTTGACGTTGATTTAGTAAAATAATTATTGGTCAGTTGATTCTTTTCCCAATCTTAACTTTTTCTGTAAATTTGAAGCATTTTTTCATTGCAGTTGCCTTCTGTACTTCTGCACAAAATGTATCTGCTTCAAAGGACGTACTTTGTGGTACCGTGAACCGTTTACATATCGTAAAGGTGCTTGGCCTTGGTCAACACTGGAAGCATCAACATCCAGCGAAAGCGGAGCTGATTTCTCGGCAATGAGTGCTGCTGGACATGAATATTATCCGGAAATTGGTTAGTCCACGAAATATAATAAAAACTTCCCATTTTTGAAAATTTTTACCCAATTTTATTTAAAAAAATATAATTGTTATAGGAAATAGCTTTGTCTGTTTTGGAAGCTCATGCACTTTTTACTGAAGAAGGACATAGTGCTCTCAAATTTTTATTCGTATCCCTACACGTTTTGTAAAGATTGGTAATTTGTGCGAATAAAACGAATTTTTTGACGTTTTTTCGCATAATGGTGATAATCTCTGCAGAACATGTGTGCAATACAACTACAGATTTTAGAATTTGACGTCCCTCTTTCATGTACGATCACGTAAATCCGAGCGGGACGAGAAAAAGCATCAGTAATTTTCGTCAAATTCTGTACCGAATTCCATGAGAGTCGTATTGCAGCAATTTTTGTTTTTCTGAGGAAAAATCTGGCTTTCAATACTAATAAACCTTCAGGTATTCCGCGTGCAAAGCTGAAATCCGGTAGTGGTGCTGGAGGAGCACTGGACGATCAGCATCAGGCGCTAGCCGTTTCAAGGCTTCATGGATATCTAGACGATGGCGTACGCATCCCACGTGCGCACCTGGATCGTGATGATGATGTTTACGACTCGACATCGCAATCGTCGAGCGAATATACAGTACGCGAAGAGGTTGAACGTCGGGTGATCACCGATGTTACCAAAAAGGAAACGAAGAAAACATTAACAACAGCTGATGTGCATGGGAGTACCACTGCAGAGTTTCACGTTTATCCACCAATCGAAGTTACCACCGAATCACATTCTTCCTCACAGGTAATCAATTGATTTTGCGGGATCAATTACTGGATTACCGGAAATAGCTGTTAATTAGTATTCTGGTTCTCCTTCTATACAGCAAAGGACTTTTTCAGTTCTTTTGACCAGTGCTACAGCCCCTGGTGGTTAACGTGCTGGTGATCCTAACGTTCGTTTTGTTTCTTGAATGAGTTACCACCCCTGTGGATTGCTTCACAGAAGCAGTTGTTTTAGAATAGTGTGCTAAGTGAATCAAACAAATATTTTAAAGATTGGAACACGGCAAGGAGGCTCGCTGTTGCTGGAGAAGGACGAGCAGGAGAGGGGGGAAAGCGTTGCGGAATTCAGTATTGGCAACACGAGGCGCGAATGGAGTACCACGGCTAGGGCTTCCGAGTTCAGCACCGTAAGTTCCAGTGTTTCATCGTTCTGTTGAGGAACTAATCAGCTTTTGCGATCTGCCTGGATCATAGGCGGATCCAGCCCGGATTTTCGGGATGAGGAGAGGGAGGGGGGAGCGAGGAGCAGGAGTAGAGTGGGGCACCAGAGGACGGGGGCGACGGGTTGGGGGAGAGCCTCCTCCCACACTGGAACTGAGCAAAAATTAGGAATAGAGTT